AAAGAGACTAGGGAATCTCACCTTCAGAAATGGCAACATTGTCCAAGGCATTTAAAAGCTGTGCTCGAGTGCTGGTCTCTCCAGCCAGACTGAAGGTGTAGGCAAGCAGAGCCGTGGCGTAAGTGTTTCCCAGGTTCCCAACGACAGGCCTCAAGCAAGACAGAGCATTGGTAATGATGGGATCCTGAAAGCAAAGCAAATTTTAGACTACATAACCAGAAGGTCATCTTCAAGGAGCTTGTATAACTACTGGTAGGCATGTTTTTACCGTGACAAGAACATCTAGTTCAAGCAGCGACGCAACAACGTAGCCTGTCATGGTCACGTTATCACCAACACCACCCTAAAACGGAGCAGCAAAATGACTATGATCAGAGGTCTGACCCGTTATGGCACATTTAAAGAAACATGATGCACCTTAATGGCATTGTGGTACAGAGTTCCCAGTTGCATGAAACAGCCATCTGAATCCTGCTTGCTGATCAACCAATCCTTTGCGCTCTGGAGGACACTGGGATCAATGAAGATTTTATGCGGGTCCATTTTACAGTTGATCCATAAACATCTGTAGCCAGAGCCTCTGCAGGGAGCTTGAGGAAACCAGTGGTGCTGATAGTGCTCTGAGGTAAAAAAAAAATAAAAAAAAATTTAAAAACCTGTCAAGATTCACTCCACTGAGTAGGACTTGTAGGATTTGGCAATCTGCACCGCTCTGAAGGTAACCGATGGCAGTCTGTCGGATGGTTGGGGTGAGCTGCGCAGTGAACTCCAGGTACTGTAGGATGTAAATATTGGGAGCAAGAACGATCATATTTTGTTCTCCACAGCCAGATGGCATCCGTAGTAAGTCATTAAGATTCTTTAGCGCACGACCCATTATGTCCCCTAAGAGAGGAAGAAAACAAGGTCAAACCAAAAAGCCATCAGAAACCAAAGTTATTTAGCTGAACGTCGCCGTGTCCATTTCCCCTTAATAAAATGCTTTACCAAGGACTGAAACGGAGCATTTGGTTGATCCCTGGATCACATTTGTTGGAAACATCAGAGATGCGTCTTCTGAAAGAACACTTCCTGTGGACCAAACAGAACTGATTTGAACAGAACACAGTTTACTGGTACAGAGAGAGAATGCATTTAGAAAGTCACTGAGTGCAAACAAACCCTTTGGACACAATAACCAACTCTGGGTGAAGATCCTTTCAACTCCCTCAGGCTATAAAAAGCAATAAAATAAACCACATCAGTAAAGCATCATCAGCAAACTCCAGAAAGCTGGTTAACACTTACCAGAACAAGAAGACTTTGAGTAACTATGTCAATGCGTCCTCTCACCGGCACAGTCACAACTTCAGTGCCACATCGAACCTGGGATTGTTCAGCCTGAGCGCTGACGGTCACATTTACAGATCCTATAGTACAGACAGGAAGTGAGCAACAACTCATACACCTCAATTTAGAAACAGACAAACAGAGCAAAACAGACCGAGAACAGAAGCTGAGAGAATCCATTTAAAGGTCTTTCTCCCATTGGCACAGAGACAGGATGAATACGGCTCATTGAAAGGTCTAAGACTGAAGTCCAAGGAAGAAGCTGGAGTCACTTTAACCTGCCAATGAATTACATTAGTGCACATGGAGTAAAGACAAGACTATTTTCCTCTACTGATCCATTTAGGGTGTGTGATATTGACATGCTTCATTTTCTGGGATGGAGTTTTCGCGCTAGTAACTTGGCTGGTTTAGGCCTGTCAGGGACGGCTGTCTACTGAAATTTTCCATATTTAGTGTGGTGGTCAGTTGATAACAGTGACCGAAATAAAGACTTGCTGAAATCATTCTTGCACATGAGATATTGCTTCATTTTGATAGTACAAAACTCATGGAAGGTGCCCCTGTATTTTACATTGCTAATTCTAACAGTTACAATAGGCTACATCTTACTGTGAAGGCTCAGAGCAAGGTGACACCATCAGCTTGCACATCTAACAGAATTAGAAGTTACACAAACACCTATTACACTAATAAATATGAATCCAGACCATGATGCACTTGGACAGATAGTTGAAGACTGTGGCCTTCAGCTCAAAAGACTCTCCACGGATGATGGAGTAAGGCAGGGAGAGCTCCAGGAAGAAGGGTTGGAAGACCGTCAGCTGAACAGGAGGAGCCAAACCGAAACCTCTGGAGGACAGGCAGAACGCCTCCGTCTCCCATGTGGTGATTGTGTCAGGAACCTTCAGAGTAACTTGTGTGGATCCAGTGTTTCTGAAGAAACAAGGACACCGGAAGACAAATGAGGGGGCAGAAGAGGTAAACTAATTGAGGCCAAGTGGCTTTAGATCAGTGATGTCAAACTCGGTTCCCGGAGGACCACAGCCCAGCAGAGTTCATATAAAACTCTAAACACACCTGATCCAGCTAAATCAAGTCCTTCAGGGTTATTTGAAAACTACATGGCATGTGTTGGAGCATGGTTGGAAACACTCTTTAGGGCTGCGGCCCTCCAGGAACTGAGTTGGACACCTGATTTAGGCCTAGTCCACACATGCATGGGTATTTTTAATTACATGGGTATATCCTCGGTTAAAAAACAAACAAAATAAAAAGTCCACATTAAAATGCAAAAACTATGAAGCACTGTCAAGAGTATGCCAAAACAACAAGTGGCAATATAAACCTAACTGTAAAGCCACATTGGCCAATTACAGACTTGCCTCATGTAAACAGGAAACAAGTGCACTCCAATGTCACAAGCCAAAAATCTCCAGTTGCAGTGTTGTGTAGCCAGTGAAACCAGAGTTTCTGAAAATCTTCACCTTGGCAGTAGTTTAAGGTTCCGTTTCAGTGACCCTATACAGCATTTGTGGACAAAATGGCCAAACCGCATAGAAAAAGCTGCAGTTTTGAAAATACCAGTGTTCGTGTGGACGGGGCCTTTGAATCTCGTTTCAGCAAATTGACTTACCCCACTTGAGCAAGCTGCCAGATCCATGTTTCTGGAAAGTAAGTCCTGACGGTCACGTCAAAAGGGGAGCTTCCAGCATCCCCGCCTCCAGCTCCCCCGCCCTCACCTTGTCCAGCGCCCTCACCTCGTCCAGCGCCCTCACCTCGTCCAGCGCCCATTGAATAGGCTACAGGAACACAAACAAAGCACAACACCCCCCTATCCCATTAATACCAGGACTGCAACAATTGAGGTTTGTCCATTCATTATAGGCATAAGACAAATCAGATCGGTGCACCAGGCTATCCTATAGTAAGAAACTCATTTTAATAAGATTCATTCTGATATGGTGCCATTCCATTGCACGGTAAGGCATTGCTCGCTTTTGGGGTGGGGGGGACACCAGATTCAAGAACTTAGGTGCTTGATATAAAATAAATGGTGCTTTAAAAAGTCCTTATCAAATTCACACCCCAGCATATGTAGCGTCATGAAAGACCTTCCAGTACTTAATTTCACTTACACTTAACATTTACATTAAACATGTCAGAGTAATAATGTTTTGAATGTGTAGGTTTCATAAATTTAGACCGTTTTGAGCAGTCGTGTTCAAAGGAATTTAATGAAATCCATTGAAGTCAGTACTGGTAATATTCAAATACAATTTCTCAAATATTGATAAAATACGCATCAAACTGGTTTTTGCTGTAGTTCTCGTACAAGATTTAAATTGGAAAGAATCTCAATTTTTAAATTAGTGGTTAAGTGTAATAACATGGTAAAAACTGTTAATATTAAAAATTTGAACAGTCGCTCAAAAGAGACGTTACTTATTAATAAAATTAACTCCAGTCAATTTTTGTAAATCCCATTTTTTCATCTTTGACCTAAGAATGCAGCTCAAACTTTGCCCTTCCAGGCCACTTACCTGCAGAGATTTGATCCAACCCTGATAACTCGCCTGCCTGTAGCAGTCTTGAAGACAATGATTAGCTGGTTCAGGTGTGTTTGATTAGGGTTGGAGCCAATCTCTAGCTGTGTCTCATTTAGAAGGCTGCGCCCTCCGGAGGTTGCATCCTCTGTAGGATGCATATACGAAGTGTCCTTAACCTAGAATTAAATGACTGCCTTCGTAGGACAGGCGGAAAAGGAAACCGGAAGTATCACGTTGCCATGCCAACACATTTAGAGCATCGTTGCGCTCACACTACTTGAAAGAATTTCAAAATTTGGAAAGTAATTTGAAAAAATATGCTTTTACTGGTTTTATTTTTGTTCAATGTTTGAGGAGCTGCATCGCATGTACAGCAGACATGTTAGAGAGAAAAAAAAAAAAAAAAAAAGAATAAAGAGGATATTAAAAATAAGTTTATCCGTTTTTACCGAGGTGATTTAAGGCAAGTTGTAAACACCACATTTGCGCGTGCGCATCTGCCGGCGCCGGCATTTTTCAAATTAACAACGGTTGTTTACAGCGACGCAAAGACTTGTGGGTTCTCTGTAGCAGCGAAGGATACACCTCATGCATCCTCCGAATTCCTGTGAAAGGTCGCATTCGGAGTGTCCTACTTGCTTTTCTGAAATGAGACAGCCTCAATGACGTATGCAGCCTTCGAATGCGACCTCCAGAGGGCGCAGCCTTCTAAATGAGACAGCTTCTGAAGGAAACTGGCCTAGAACGGCCAAGTTTGCCCACCCCTGATCTAGAGGAACGCAGCTGCTCAAAACTTAAAATGTTCATGAAATATTTTCTAAATTTACACCTTGTACATGTGCAAATCTGCAAAAAAAAAAAAAAAAAGATAAAAATAGGACTTTCTATTTGCTTTTAAACTGTAAACGCTTTAAGCCGTTTTTCCAATTTTTCAAGTACTACATTTTTCTCCTTAGCTCCATGTTGCAGTAAGTTTTGAGTTCATTTTTAGGCCATCTCCTATCCTGAAAAGTCTATTGCAGAGACAAAAATGAGCTCCTAAAACATACTGCCAGATTCTGGAAGATATATTCTTCAAATAGTGGTACAAGAGGATGTGGTGCTGGTCCTTCAAGAGTCACTCTCAACTTATCGGTCCATAAAGCCTATAAAAATAGTCATCATGCATTTCACAACACTTCAGAATGTTATTCTTAAGTAGGGGTCATTTTTTTACCCAAGCAAAGTCTCTGAGAACCTGACACCTTGTAATTCTGGAGACTCAAGGTTGCAGTTCTGGAAAATAGTGGCACTGGAGACTAAAAGTTTCCTGATGGTTTCACTTAATTCTTCACATTAATTCTTAAATCTTTTGCAGTTAACATGTGTCTTTTCTTCTCCACCTGTTTTTTTTTGACCCCGCTGACCCAATGAGCATTTAGCTGACCAATGTTCATGCCTTAACTTTGAAATTTCTGTATTGCATTAGTTTTTAATATTTC